GAGGCAGGCCGAGGAGGAGGCCCGCCGCGCCGAGGAAGAGGCCGAGAGGCTGGAAAAGGAGGAGGCCGAGCGCAAGGAGGCCGAGCGCCAGCGCAAGCGCGAGAAGGAGAAGGCCAAGAAGGAGCAGCTCAAGAAGGAGGGCAAGCTGCTCACGCCCAAGCAAAAGGCCGAAAAGGCGGCCGCCGAGGCGCGGCTGCAGGCGATGCTCAAGAGCGGCCAGATCAAGGTCGAGGGCCTCGAGCAGCAGAAGGAGGCCCAGGCGGCCGCGGCCACCGACGCCGGCCCTTCCAAGAAGCGCGTCGTCATCGACAACCGCAAGAAGAAGAAGCCCGTCCAGAAGCGCGAGGGCGGCCTCACCATCCCCGAGCCCGTCGCCGCTCCCGCCGACGCCGAAGAGGCCGACAAGTCCGACGAGGCCAAGCCGGTCGAGGACGCGGCGGCTGCTGCGGCGGCGTCCCCTGCTGCAGAGGCCAAGCCGGCCGACGAGGCCGAGGACGTCAAGGACAGCTGGGACGCCGAGTCCGACGAGGACGTCAAGGACGACTGGGATGCCGAGTCTGAAAAGGACGACGACGACGACGAGGGCAAGAAGCCGGCGGCCGCGGGCGACAAGGCCAAGTCCGCTACCAACGGCAAGGCCGGTGCTGCCGCCGCCGCTGCCGGCAAGAAGGCGGCCAACGGCAAGAAGGAGGCAAAGGCATCCGACGATGAGGATGGCAGCGACGACAGCGACGACGACTCTGGCTCCGACTCGGATGACTCGGACAGCGACGACGGCCTGACGTCGAACGAAAAGGCGCTGGCCAAGCGCAAGGCCGAGGCGGCCGCCCGCCGGCACGAGCGCACCAAGCAGGCGCTGGCGGCGCGCAGCAAAGACGACCTGCGCAGCCCGATTTGCTGCATTCTCGGCCACGTCGACACGGGCAAGACGAAGCTGCTCGACAAGATCCGGCAGACCAACGTCCAGGAGGGCGAGGCGGGAGGCATCACGCAGCAGATCGGCGCCACGTACTTCCCCGTGGAGACGCTGCAGCAGAAGACGGCGGTGCTGGACAAGGACCACCCGTTCGAGTACAAGGTGCCCGGCCTGCTCGTCATCGACACGCCCGGCCACGAGTCGTTCACCAACCTGCGTACCCGCGGCTCCTCGCTGTGCAACATTGCCATCCTCGTCATCGACATCATGCACGGCCTCGAGAACCAGACGCGCGAGAGCATCAAGCTGCTGCGCGACAAGAAGACGCCGTTCGTCGTGGCGCTCAACAAGATTGACCGGCTGTACGGCTGGGAGGCGACGCCCAACGGCGCGTTCCGGGCGAGCTTTGCCAAGCAGAACCGCTCGACGCAGAACGAGTTCCTCGAGCGCACGCGCAACGTCATTGTCCAGCTGGCCGAGGAAGGGCTCAACGCGTGCCTGTTTTTCGAGAACAAGAACATGAGCAAGAACGTCAGCCTGGTGCCGACGTCGGCGCACACGGGCGAGGGCATCCCGGACATGCTGCGCCTGATTGTCGAGCTGACCCAGACGCGGATGAGCGACAAGCTCATGTACCTCTCGGAGCTCGAGTGCACCGTGCTCGAGGTCAAGGTCATCGAGGGCCTCGGCACGACGATCGACGTCGTGCTGTCCAACGGCGTCATGCACGAGGGCGACCGCATCGTCGTGTGCGGCCTCAACGGCCCGATTGTGACGCAGGTGCGCGCGCTGCTGACGCCGCAGCCGCTCAAGGAGATGCGCGTCAAGGGCGCCTACGTCCACCACAAGATGGTCAAGGCGGCGCTCGGCGTCAAGATCGCGGCGCCGGACCTGGAAAAGGCCATCTCGGGCTCGCGGCTGCTCGTCGTGGGTCCCGACGACGACGAAGAGGACCTCAAGGACGAGGTCATGTCGGACCTGACGGACCTGCTCGACAAGATCGACACGTCGGGCCGCGGCGTGTGCGTGCAGGCGTCGACGCTGGGCTCGCTCGAGGCGCTGCTCGAGTTCCTCAAGGTGAGCAAGATCCCCGTCGGCGGCATCAACATCGGGCCGGTGTACAAGAAGGACGTGATGCGCTGCTCGACGATGCTGGAAAAGGCCAAGGAGTTTGCCGTCATCCTGGCGTTTGACGTGCCCGTCGACAAAGAGGCGGAAAAGCTGGCTGAAGAGTTCGGCATCAAGATCTTTACGGCCAAGATCATCTACCACCTCGAAAACGACTTTGTCAAGTACAACCAGGAGATTGTCGAGAGCAAGAAGCGCGAGGCGAGCGGCACCGCCGTGTGGCCGTGCCGGCTGCGGACGATTGCGTGCTTTGCCAAGCGCGACCCGATCATCCTCGGATGCGACATTATCGAGGGCTCGCTGCGGGTGGGGACGCCGCTGGCGGTGGTCAAGGTGGACCCGGCGACCAAGAAGAAGCAGACGATCCACCTGGGCAAGGTGACGTCGCTCGAGATCAACCACAAGGAGAAGGACGTGGTGCTGAAGAAGGACGTGGGCGGCGGTGTCGCCGTCAAGATTGAGCACGCCGTCTACGAGAGCGCCAAGATGTACGGGCGCCACTTTGACGACAAGGACGAGATTGTCTCGCACATTAGCCGCAACTCGATTGACGCGCTCAAGTGAGTACCAGTGGCAGGGCGTGGTTCGGGCGTGGCTACGTTGGCAGCCAGCCCAGCAGCACCGGACGCGGCGGCCGTCGACCGATGACGATGCTCACACCCCGTGCTCTTGATTGTCTTCTCCCCTTTGTTTGCGCGACGCGCAGGGCCCACTTCTGGGAGGGCATCTCTACCGACGAGAAGCGCCTGATCAAGAAGCTCAAGGCCGAGCTCGACATTCCGTAAAGGCCCCCCCCCCCCCCCCCGCCGCTCGGGTTGTAGATCTGTCGCAGAGGAAAAGCGCAGCGGCGTGGCCAGGTGGCTTGGGGGCGTCACGAGCCGGTTGGAGAGCATTTCTTGGGCCGTGGTGTCTGCCTGTCATGTCGATATCGGTGTCGATGTCGATGTCGGTGTCGGTGTTGATGTCGATGCAGTGGATGTGCGGGATGAGATCGGGCGTTTGTCTGGCGGATCGAGGAGCGGGCACTACTTTGCTGCGTCTATCTGATGATGTGCAGGGGAGGCCGAGGTGCGTCGTCTGGGTGCCTGAGGAGAGGAGAGGAGGCCGCGTGAGATCAGGGAGAGGGGCGTCTGGCTGGCTGCCTGGCTGGCTGGCTTGGTCGCGCCTGGACCCTGAAAGCGGTTGGCAGGCTGGCCCGCTCCCCGCTCCCCGCTTCCCGCCCGACCCCCTGGCTGCCTGGATGTGTTGGCCTTGCTTCCCGTTCACCCCTTTCCATGCTGCCCGGCCTCCTTCCATACCACCGCCCCACCTTTCCCTCCCCCACCATCCATCGCGCCCTCATCGCACGGCGCTCTAGCCGCAGTCACCGCAGCACGGACGGATCAGGACAGCCCCAAAGGGACCCCCCCTGCCTCACATCCAACACCCATCCCGATCCCCTCCTCGACCCTCGCTCTTTCTCTCTCTCTCTCTTTTCCCCCTCTCTCGCCCTCGCACTCTCTCGCCCCATCTGCAGCAACGGAATCCCCAGTCACTATTTCCCCGCCTGCCATGCTATGACCCGTCACGACAGTTCATCGATACCCAGCTCCTTGTAGCACACAAAGGACCCGCCACGATCACCGCCACGCTCCGCCTCCCACGCACGCCTCTTGCCCCCCCGCCGTCTGCATGCACTGCTGACCAACGTACGACAACATGTCCGCCCCAGAGGTCACGCCCAGGCCCAACCGCATCGCCGCGACACACAGCCCAAACCTTTACCCTCACACCCCCAGACCCAACCGATCCACGTCTCTGAGCCAATCGCCATCAACGACGCCCACTCACACGGCGCCCGCACCACCATCATCGACATCACCTCGCGACGACGCAGCCTCATTCTCCGACCTCTCGCCCACCGCCAGCCCCACATCCAAGACCTCCAACTGGAAGGCCAGCATCGAGCTCTCCCTCGCCACCAGGAGGCGCCTCATTCGCAAACCCTTGCCCCAGCTCCCCGGCGAAAACGACACCGACGACGATGACCGCTCCCGGCTCGGCGACAGCAGCTCTAGCAACCGCAGGCTAGAAGACGAGCTCAGGGACGCCGAGGACTGGTGGCCCGAGTCGCTACCAGAGAGCGTCGACGCTGCCACGCCCGCCAACGGCTCCCTCCTCTTTCCCAAGCGCCAGAAGCAGCAGCTCGACGGCGGCCTCGACGACCAGAGCTCACAGCACCTTCTCACCATCCTCCACTACGCCGCCCTGGCACCGCCCTGTCAGCTGCCGCTCTCCTCCGAAGCCGCGACGGGAGTGTCAGGGTACGTCGTCGACGCCCGACTGCTCGAAAGCCTCTATGATGCGCTCGCAGAAGCACTCGAGTACCTCTCGAAGCGAGAGGTGCTCGCCTCATTGCAGAGGACCGCTTCGATCCGCTGGAGGGCCGAGGCCCAGCTCCGCAACGCGGCCGCTGCCAGTGCCAGCCAAGCAGACTCGACGCAGGGCTCGACGTCCAAGTGGGCCCGGTTCGCATGGCCTGCTGCTGCCCTCGGCCGCGCCTACCGCGAGGCCCAGCGTGGCACTCTGCCGCCCCTTCCGGCCGACCTGGCAGCCTGCGACGCGCAGCACGCCGAAGAGGCCTTTCAGCCCTTTGGCGGCGACCCGCGCATCAGGAAGCGTGACGTTGCCATCAAAATCCTCAGCAATGCCGTGTGGTTTGTCCGCAACTACGGACCCGCTGCAGGAGTCGAGACCCTCTACGGCCGGTACCCCGGGCCAAACGAGCCAAGCGTGGAGGCTGTTGACGATGGCGACGAAACGGCAGCATCCACGACGCCTCATCGTTCCGCCCCTCCGGCCTCTCGCAGGGTCTCTGAGGCGCTCATGAAGCCGCACGGCGGCCGCCCCAACTTTCTGGCCAAGTCGACGCCCACGACTGCTCTGAGCGGCACGGCCACCCCCGAGCCTGTGACTGAAGCCAGCTCACCATCACCTTCGAGCACGGCGCCAGCGGTACCAGATGACTCGAGCGAGCCTGTAGCAGCGGATGCATCAGTCGGCCAGGATGCCTCCGGCTCGGCAAAGGAACGCGATGCGACGACGGCGATGACCGATGGAGCGGCCGCGCCGGTGCCTGCGCCACCTGTCCTTGCCCCACCGAGCAAGGCGATGGAGCACCTCGCCTCGCTCAATGCGGCTTCCGGAGCTGCTCTCCGGGCCAAGGCGCAGGCGATGCACAAGGGCGAGGGTGGCACGGATGCCTTCGCCGAGGGCATCTCGCAGCGTCTGGCGCACCAATCGAGTCGGCCGAGCCTGCGATCGACCACGAGCTACCTCACCGAGGCCGAAGCAGCAGAGACGGCGGCGCTCGAAAAGGCCGAGCGCGAGTACCTGGCGATGCTCGGCAAGGGGTGCGACGAGTGGGCCAAGATGGTCGTCTGCCGGCTGCTCGCGGACTTTGAGGTGGAGGAAGAGAGCGACGAGGGCAGGGACACACTCAAGGCCAAGAACAGCAAGCAGGGCCAGGCGCTGGCTGAGCAGCTGCGCGTCGACGGTCCACAGACGATCTCGAACATCTCGACCCGATCCGACCGGACGGCGAGGGCCGCCAAAGTCGCGGCAGCGGAGGATGATCGGCCGGTCGTGTGGATGCCCGAGGTGTTCGAAGGCGATGACATTTTTGGTGGCGGGGCGGTCGAGGTGCGCCGGCCACAGGATCGGCAAGACCACCTCGACCGTGTCAAACTGATCGGTGGAAGCTTTCACATCAAGGTCAAGGACGCGCGCGAGAAGCAGGCGATGTCGTCGATCCTCGAGCTGGCAGTCTACGCCGGATGCTCGATGATCCTCGAGACGAGCTTCCTGCGCGACTCGGACGCCGCCCGGCCAAAGGTCGTTCGCGTGCCGACCAGGACCGCCTCGACCTTGCCACAGCCCCTGCCTGCCGGCGTGCATGTGCCGCACCGCCGCCAGTCGACCCTGTCGTCGTCGTTGAGCCGCGGCGAATCCGAGCAGTCGCAGGCGTCGGAGCCCGAGAAGACGTCGTCACCCTCGTCGCCCACCCAAAGCCACAAGGCCTCCTCGTCCCGACGCTGGACTAAGAGTCTCTGGGGTATGCTGCATGCCCGAGGCCACCCGGCCTCTGTCGATGGAGGCGCTGCCGCCGCGGCCGAGGACGAAGCCGATGGAGCAGACGCCACAGGCGGTGGCGGCGTTGCGCGCAAGCGGTCGCTGCAGCTGTCGAGGACCATGTCGGGCCATGGCGACGGCAGCGCAGGTTTCGAGCGGCGGAGGTCGTCCAAGGGTAGCGTGGGCGATGGCCTGCCTCGGTCCAAGACGATCTCTCAGCACGAGCCCCGCTCATCGATCTCGTCGATCACCAGCTCGATCGGAGCCACGTTTGGCTCGCTTCACTCACGCGACCCGTCGGACCACAGCTCGGCCTCGCTGAGCAGCAGAGCCAACGCCAAACTCGGGCGGCTGATCGGCGTGTTTGGCAGGGTCCTGCCGGAAGCGGCGCCGCACGGCGAGCAGGATGCCGGCGATGCTGAACCGCAACAGCCTGCCCTCCTCCGCGAACGCCGCGCCAGCGTCCCCAACCGCTCCTCGTCCGAGGTCAGTCAGGCCTCTGCCGTCGCCACGAAAACATTGCAGCCGGTGCGCGTGACCAAGTTCCCGCCAGCGGAACCGGGGCCTTCTCCCCTGACTTCGTCGCCTGAGCTGGCGATGTTGAGCTTCTACCGGCAGCAGGTCGCGGGCGTCGACGCCCAGGCCTACATCGACGCCTTCATGCGCTTGCAGTCGATCGGCTTCCTGTGCGAGGACCGCGCCGAGGGGGTCACGTTTGCCACACCTTCAAACGGCATCTCTGCCACCGGCGAGCTGCACCCGCAGGTCGGCGTCAAGGAAGGGACGGTGCGATCGAGCGCTGCCTCCCTGCACAGTCTACAGAGCACCGCCTCACGGCGCGGGCATCAGCTGCTGAGCGCAGAAGTGCGGCGCTCGGGTGGCGTCGTCGTCAATGGCTTCCGCCGAGAGGAGGTCGCCTTCTACCAGCGGCTCAGCAACAGCCGCGACGTTCCGCTGGGCCAGGTGGTTGAGGAGCTCTGCGTCCGCGCTGGCTCCCTCGAGGCCGAGGAGGGTGCCAGCGCCAACGGCGGTGCTGCGACCTCCGATAAGCGCCCTGTCGCCCCGGAGCAGCGGGTCCACTTTTTGCATGGCGAATTCCACGTCAAAGTCACCGCCACCATGCTGCCCGCCGCGACAGTGGGGACCCATACCGCCAGCGGCCCCGCTGCTGCGACTGCGGGCAAGCAAGGGGCCGAAGGGGGTGTCGGCGACGAGTCCGAACGATCGCGAGACGTGCCAAGCGAAGACGCCTCGATCGCATCGAATGACGCCGACATCTCGGCCGTCGCGGCGGCTCTGCGCACGGACAAGGAGGCGGCGAAGACGGCCGTGGCCGTGGCCGAGACGGCGGTGCAGGCTGCCGAGCGGGGCACGCAGGTGCTCGTCGACGGCAAAACGAGCAGCGAGAGCAGCATCTGGATGTGGAACGCCAACGGGTCGAGCGGCTGGCAGGGGCGCGCTCGGCCGATGTCCGAGTCGACCTATCTGATGTCGTTTGCGCGCTACCTCGAGGCCATCCTCTACCACCCGGCCCTGCAGAGGGTGGGAGGATTGGAAGATGCTGGTCGACAAGCCAAACAGCAAGGCGTGCGCACCGATGCGGGCCTCCAGAAGCAGCTGCGAGAGGGGCGGGACGAGGCCAGCCGAAGCGTGGCCGAGGGGGCGCACCTGCTACGCATGTTTCGATCCGGCCGCGCCGTCATCAAGGTCGTCACCCAGCCCATCCGCGTCTACGATCTGGTCATCGATGGCCCCGTCATGCACGGACGGCCCAAGCCCATCTCCGCAGAGGCTGCAGCGGCCAACCGCAGACGAGGTCGCGAGAAGCGGGCCAAGGCGCAGAGCGGCGCGCTCCAGGCGGTGCTGGAGGACACGCGGCTCGAGGTGCAGAAGTTCTTTGCCTCGGCCAAACAGCAGATGACGGCGCTCGAGGACCTCTTCGTGGCGCGAGAGCTCGACGAGACGGGCAAGACGATCCGCCGCAACCCGATCGATGCGGCCATGTTTGCCGAGGACGGGGCCGATGGCGATAAGGCCTTTGACGGCGGCAGCTTGGCGCGCAGCGTCGACTCGCGGACGACAGTCTCTGGTACCGTCGCCGAGCCTCTGACGCTCCTCGCCCGGCTTCAGGTCTCGCTGCGGACCGACGAATTCGAGCTGTACGATGCGCTTAAGGGAATTCGAGGTGAGTCCCGTAGCCGCTGCCAGCTGGTCATGGATGTCGAGTGACGACAGGTAAGCTGATCAAGCTGGCGCGTCTGTGCTCTGCTCTCTGCTCCGTCCCCGGCCGCGTGCAGGCTTTGAGAACGTCAACGGTATTCGCAAAGCGTTTGCCGACCGCGCCAAGTCTGCCAAGAACCGGCTGAGCGCCTGGATCAAGAAGCATCTTACAAAGACCGAGCAGGCGCAGCTGGGTCGGTGCTCGTACGACGAGCCCGAGTACTTCTCATCCGGCCGCCACGCCTTCCCGGGCTCGCAGTACCTGGTACGCGAGAGCGAGCCGCTGTCGATCATCGCCTTTTCGCTCAGCTCGCGCGACTTCAAAACGGAGCTCGGCACCTGGCAGGAGCCGCCGGACGAGGGCGGCGACTACTTTGGCAAGAGCAAAGAGGAGGACGTGCTTCTGTGGCGTCGGGGCATCGTCGAGGGGTCCGGCTCGCAGATCTCGTCGGGATCCAGCTTTGTCTCGAGCTCGCCGCTGCGCGAAAAGGCGCACCGCAACGTGCCCGTCTCGCAGCTGGATCCGGATACGGATGAGGTCTTCTACGAGCCGGAACCCGTCCGGACGACGCTGAAGCGCAAGAAGCGGGCGCGCGAGACGTCAATCCTCTCGCTCCGGCTGCGTCGCGTCGGATCGAGCGTGTCGTCGACCGTCTCCGATCGGCGGACGTCGCGCACGTCGATGCTCGCGCCGGACGACGATGGTCGCAGCAGCAGTAGCCACGTCGAAGGCGGGGCCGAGGGCGGCAAGCAAGCAGACGAAGCGGCGAGCGGCAAGAAGGACATCCACGCCCTCGACAGCGGCGGCGGCGGCGACGACGGGGATGACGACGATGACGGCGGCACGTCTGACACGAGCAGCTTCATCGATACCGCCTCGACGCGTCGTGACCGCTTGACGCGCGCGCAGGGACTGCAGCAGCAGCAGCAGCCCACGCCGAGGTCATCCTCGCTGATGCAGCGCCCGGCGCCGCCATCGTCGTTGCAGAAGGGCAACACGAGTACGATCAGCTCGGCGGCTACCGACAGCACGTATCGTGCCCAGATCACCCAGATCCCCGCCCGGCCGCACTCGCTGGCGGGCATCTTTTCCAAGGATGCCGCGGGTGACGACGTCGTGCCGGGTGCAAATCGAGATTGCTGCGCGCCTCAGGACGACGAGGCAGGCGCCGGATCCGCCATCAGCAGCAGCAGCCCGTACTGGACGCTCGGCCACGGGCAGCAGGGCCTGAGGGTGCCACCGCGCAGCCAGACGCTCAAGTCGACGCGGTCGATTAGCGAGAGCGTGGCCAGCACGGCGGCATCGGCGCGCACCCTGGATGGCGTGTCGCTGGCCCCGAGCAGCGCCCTGCCCACGCCCTCGGTCCACGCCTCGTCGGCCTCGGCGGCGGGAGCCGGCGCGGCCGCCGAGAGCCCGCACATCAAGCACAACCTGATCCACAGCAACACCAAGATTTCGTGCGTCTCGTGGTTCGCCGAAGAGTTTGCGGCGCTGCGCCAAAAGTGGGGCGTCGACGACGACTTTGCCCACAGCCTCAGCCGGTGCCAGCCGTGGAGCACGACGGGCGGCAAGAGCAAGAGCGCCTTTTTCAAGACGCGCGACGAGCGCTACATTGGCAAGCAGCTGCTGACGGTGTGGTCCGTCGACGAAAAGGAGGCCTTTCTCGAGTTTGCGCCCGCCTACCTGCGCTATATGATGAACTCGGTCGTCAACGACTGTCCCACGCTCCTCGTCAAAATCGCCGGCGTCTACTCCATCAAGATCAAGGACATCAAGACGGGCGAGACGAGGCTCAAGATGAATGTCATGGTGCAGGAGAACCTGTGGGCCGGCGATGGCGGCCGCTCGGTGCGCTTCGACCTCAAGGGCATCAAGGATCGCAAGGCCAAAGTCAGCCCGCAACAGCAGCAGCAGCAGCAGCAGCAGCAACCGGCGGCGGCGGCGGCAACGGATGCGGCGATGGCCGTCGGAGATGGCTCGACGACGGCCACGCCGGCCAGGGCGGCTGGCTTGGCATCGACGAGCGGTTTCTCGACGGCCACATCGACGCCACGAACGACCGCTGGTGGCGCCACGGCAGCCGACACGCCACTCCACGCCGCCGGCGCCGCTTCTTCTGCGTCTACAACAGCGTCGGGACGCCCTACGTCTTCGTCGGCGGCGGCTGCGGCGGCATCGGCGTCGGGATCGACGTCGGCCGACGCAGCGGCTGCGGCATCGGCGGCGGCGACCGTGGGCGATGCTGGTGGCACCGTCTGGTGGGACAGCGACTGGATCGGGCGATACAAGGCCAAGGCCTTTGTCGCCGAGTCGCAGCGCGATCTCTTCTGCCGCGCGCTCAACAACGACACGCAGTTCCTCACCGCCTCCAACATCATGGACTACTCGCTCCTCCTCGGTGTCATCGAGACGCCCCCTGCGCCGCCATCGACAGCAGCAGGCGAGGGCGAGGATGAGGACGAGGACGGTGACGCCGCGTCCGACGATGCCGATGCGGACGCGGGTGCCGACGCCGACGACGCCGCGACGACGACGGGCGGTGCGGGGTCGGCACGCCAGCAGCGACGGCAGCAGCGGCCCGTGTTCCGATGCCGCATCGTCGACT